GAAATCTGATATTCAAACTTAGGCCCAAGTTTCTCAAACTCCTGCAGGCCAAATGAACGATGCCTGTGAGTTACCAGTTTGTGACCCATGAGGTAGCCCTATCATGTAGAAGAGGCTCTGCATAAATCTCTGTTGAAGGAAGGATGGGTTGTTGGTGAACTCAGGGAAGATTGTAGGCCAGACCCCAGCCCCTCGATGGGGGCTGCAGGAAGAAAAGCATTGGGTTCCTCTCAGTGTCCCCCACTGCCTTCCCCCGCTGTTGCATCAGACCTCTTCGTGACAGGTTATTGCAACTTGTTTTTTGCATCAACTTCCTCCCCCAATGTGGTGGGGAATGGGGCGGAGTGGAGTGAGAACTGGGCACCTTTTACCAGGGCCTAGAAGCTGGGTGGGGGTGGGAGTAGTCTACTCTAGATGATTGATTGACTAATTAATTAAACACATCATTTTCGAGGGTTTGCTGTGTGCTGGGTCTGATCCTGGGCTCTGGGTCACCACAGTGACCTAGACACACAAACATCCTTGCCTTCCTGGAGGTGAGATTCAGGTGGGCTAGATGGATAATAGACTGATAATGAACACACGTAATGTCCATGGTGACACGTGCTGTGAGGAAAGCAGAACAAGGTTAGACGTTTTCGGTAAGATTGTCTTGGAAAGACTGAATGTGCCTCGGGGCCTTTGCCCCGGCTGTTGACCCTGCCCATGATGCTGTGTCCTCAGATACACGCAATGCTGTTTGCTGCTTGTGTCTGCTCAAATGCCATCTTCTCAGAATGACTTTCTCTGAACATCTTCTTGAAATAGCTTTCCCACCCTATCCTTGTCTGTTTTCTTACCCTGCTTTATGTTTCTCTGTAGCAATCATTCCTACCTGCCATTTTATTTTAAAATCAGTGTATAGTCTATCTCTGCCACTGCTTTGTGAAGATGTGGAGTTAGCCTGATTTGTTCATTCACTGATGTGTCATTGGCTGTTAGCACAGTGCCTGGCACCTAATAGGTGTGCAGTAAGTATTTGCTGACTAAATAGGTGAATGTAAGAATGCATAAGCCCTTCCATGGCACGGTCATGGCTTATATCTGTGTCTCTAGCACCCAGCTGGGTGCCTGGTGCATGGCAGGCCCTGGTTAACACTTGCTGGGATGGTTGGTACTTGGAGAGGGCTTGTCCACCTAGAAATCATCATAAGCAACTTCCTGCCCCCTTTCCTAGTCCAGCCTCCCTCTCCTGGCTAACCCTCTGTCACTTTTTCCAGGAAGCCTTTGTAGTTATGAAGTGTTCACCTGCATCATTTCACTTAAACCTCAACAACTCCTCCTCCCCCCTTTTTTGTTTGGTCCAGGAAATTGACTCAGAAGTGCGGTGACTTGCTGAGGTCATGTGGTTGGCAGTCAGCAAAGAGGATGGGGCAGGGCGGAGGGGCGCGCTGGTGGTAATGAGGATGTGGGGGGCTTTGCAGTTTATAAAGCCTTCCCCTTCTCATCTCACCTCAGGAGACTCGGAAGCAGTCCGTCTATAATAATAGAGCTGTTTGCAGGATGGAAAAAACTAACAACAATAAGTAAAAATAGTGTGGGATAAATGTGAGTGTGCTTGGTGCACGTACAAGCCCTACAGTTGTTGTTGATTCAAATCCAGGTTTCCTTAGGAAGCACCGTGGGTTCTGTCTGCCTACACCAGGGCTTGGACTCCCTGCAGACACTCTAGAAACTCAAGATGGGGAGATCATAATAGCCAATGCCTTTTTTTTTTTTTTTTTGGAGGCAGGGTCTCACTTTGTCATTCAGGCTGAAGTACAGTGGCGCGATCTCGGCTCACTGCAACATCTGCCTCTTGGGCTGAAGTGATCCTCTCACCTCAGCCTCCCAAGTAGCTTGCACTACAGGTGCGTGCCACCACACCTGGCTATTTATTTTTTATTTTTAGTAGAGAAGGGGTTTTGCCATGTTGGTTGATTGTTTGAACTCCTGGGGTCAAGCAGTCAGCCTACCACAGTGTTAGGATTATAGGTGTGAGCCACCGTGCCTGGCCAATAGTAGCGAATGTTTTTGAGCACCTACCATGCACCAGGGACCATTCAGGTGCTGGTTATGTGTGTTAGCTTCTGTAATTCTCATTGTAATCCTGTGTACTCATTTTGTCCCCTGCTATAGAGGAGGAAATGGAGGCAGAGAGAATAAATAATTTACTTCAGGTCTTACAGCTTGTAAGCAGCAGAGTTGGGATTGGAGCCCACTTAAATGCTTTACCTGTAGTATTTCTTTTTTTTCTTTCTTTCTTTTTTCTTTTCTTTTCTTTTTTTTGAGATGGAGTCTTACTCTGTCGCCCAGGCTGGAGTGCAGTGGCGTAATTTCAGCTCACTGCAACCTCTGCCTCCCAAATTCAAATGATTCTCCTGTCTCAGCCTCCTGAGTAAGTGGGATTACAGATGTGAGCCACCATGCCTGGCTAATTTTTGTATTTTTAGTGGAGACAGGGTTTCACTATGTTGGTCAGGCCGGTCGCGAACCCCTGACCTCAGGTGATCCACCCATCTCAGCCTCCCAAAGTGCTGGGATTATCACTGCGCCTGGCCTGCCTGCAGTATTTCATATCAGCCTCACAGTAGTCCATGAAGTCAGCAGTTTTATGGTCCCTATCCATGTTATAGATGAGGCCCAGAGAGATGGAGTCAGTTGTCTAGGTCACAGAGCAGTAGGTGGCAGGGGCAGGATTTGAACCAGGTGGCTGGTTCTAGCCTTTGAGTCTCGTCTACTCTTACATTCTGCTTGCTTAGGAGATACAGTGCCCTTCTAGCAAGGAGAAGGGAGAGTTTCTGAGGGCAGGGAAGGCTTCTGAGAGTTAGGGCATGGGAGGAGGAGGTGGAATGCTGGCCATGTCTTTGGCCTCTGCAGGGGAGCGTGTGCGGGTTCCCCGCAGATGCAGCCTGGATTCAGGTAGGCTAAATGGATAATAGACTGATAATGCGCACACATAATGTCCATGGTGACAGGTGCTGTGAGGAAAACAGAACAGGGATAGACGTTTTCAATAGGATTGTCTTGGAGAGACTGAATGTGCCTCTGGGCCTTTGCCCTGGCTATTGACCCTGCCCATGATGCCGTATCCTCAGATACACGCAATGCTGTTTGCTCCCTGTGCCTGCTCGACGTGAAGCCTGTCTCCGTGTCTGACCGGGGACTGCCTGTGGTTCCACAGCCACCTCCGCTGACCTTCAGCCCTGTCCGTGTAGAGATTTTTCCCCATCAGCTCAGAAGTATTTTGGTGTTTTCACAGGCAGCGAGGTCGTCCTGGTGTGTATTAGGAGAACATCTGCTGGAGTGCCTGGCCTGTATGGCTGCAGTGCTGCAAAGCCCTGCCTTTCACCCCCCATGCTCGGGGGGCCCTACACCCTCTTTCTTTTTGAGGCTGCATTGCGACACCTCAACCACTCCAGGGCACACCAGATGGACGCTCCACTGCCAGCACCTGTGCTCCTCTGCCTGATGGCTTTGTCTGCTCTGAGCTGCTCTGTCACTTTCAGGGAAGATGGGGAGTGCCAGGATCACCCTCACTGCGCTTAAACCAGTGACAGATAGGACCGGTGTACAGACTCCCCGGCCTCCTTACTCTCTGAGGGTGGCTCTGAGGTGTGCATTTGACACTGTCTGGGGCCTCATGGTGGTAACTTGGTTGGTCTCATACCCTTCGTGGGCTGCCTCCCCTTCTTGGTTCCACCTCCCTGCTGGTGTTTCCAGGAACCATCTCCCACCTCCCACCTCCCACCTCCCGAAGAAACTACTTGTACTCCACTTCTTGCCTCAGGGTCTGCTGCATCTGGGGAACCACCCCAAGGCTCCTGTCATGGTAGACCTGCTAAGATGCATCCACGGCACATACTCCCTGCATTCTCTGTGCACATAACCACGGGCAGAGTTGATTGGTAATTTTGTAGACATTTAAATCAAGATTTATTCATTTTGACAATACAGTTTTCATTTTGTATTTGGAGCCAGTGCACATATTTTTAAAGGCCTCCAACATTTCTGTAGGTCCAAGGAATGTGCCCAGGGAAGGGGCCTGGTCTAAGCTGGTCCGGGGGCTACATGGAATTAAAAGTGCCCACCCCTTCACTGGGCATTTACTGAGGACTTATGGGGCACCTTCTGTGATCCTGGCTGGATCCTGGGGGCTGGGCGCTCCCACTGTGGGGCAGAGGCAACAAGCGATTTACAAGCAGTGTCAGATTTAATCCTCGTGTCAGCAACTTGCAAGGTGAGGCTCCATTACACAGATTTTATAGATGAGGCAACTGAGGTGCGAGGCTGGGCTGACTCCAGAGTCGATCATGTGATTCATGCCTTGTTTTCCTCTTTCCTAAAAAGGGAATGCAGTAACCTGCCTCATGGGGTTGTTATGCAGGACAAACAAGCTGACCATCAGTCAGCTGCTGAACCCATTGTTACTGAGCATCTGCTCTGTGTCCAGCACGGTTCTAGGTCCAGTGGGTGGACGCTGCCCAAACAAGCTGCCACCCTCCTGGGACTGACATTGTAGGGGACAGAGGAACCATAAGTGAAGAAACAGCTCAGTGCAGGTGGAGGGCAGTGCTGTAGGGGATGGAGGAGGGTGAGATAGAGCGTGCAGGCGAATGGGTGTCTCTTTCAAATAGGGCAGTGGGGGAGGGCCTCAGAAGAACTGGCATTTGATTCTAGAGGGGAATTGATATGGTTTGGGTGTGTCCCCACCTAAATCTCATCTTGAATTGTAGCTCCCATAATTCCCATGTGTCATGGGAGGGACCTGGTGGGAGGTAATTGAATCATAGGGGTGGGTCTTTCCCATGCCATTCTCGTGATAGTGAATAAGTCTCACGAGATCCGATGGTTTTATAAAGGGGAGTTCCCCTACAGAAACTCTCTTGCCTGCTGCCATATAAGACATTACTTCTCATTTGCCTTCTGCCATGATCGTGAGGCCTCCTCAGCCATGTGGAACTGTGAGTCAATTAAACCTCTTTATAAATTACCCAGTCTCTGGTATATCTTTATTAGCAGCGTGAGAACAGACTGATACAGGAATGAATTGAGGTCAGGGCCCTGCAGATATCTGGAGAAAGAGTCTTCCAGGCAAAGGGAACAGCAAGTGCAAAGGCCCCGGGGTGGGTGGTGCCTTGGTATGTTCCCAGGGGGTCTCAGTTGTAGGTTCTTTGTATGCTTTCAGGAAGACATTAGCCTGTTAAAGATACAATTCAAAGCAATATGTTTGTGCTATGGACTATATAATGACACGAATAATAGATACATATATGGACTTTATAAAAGTGCCATGGGAGTAAAGGAGTAGTAAGTCTGACTTTGTTTAAAAAAAAAAGCTCTCTCTTCCCAGTCCTCTCAGAGTATGTCTGTGACTGAATGAGTCAGCAGTGGAATCCTTGGAGAGGATGTTTCAAATCCAAAATTTGGGCCTTTTGGGAAAGTCTCAGTTGGTTCTGAGCCAATGGCTCTCAGCTCCTAGCACGGACCTGATGAAGGAATGCTAGGTGGGAACACAGTGGAGAGGGTTTTAATCTCAGCCTGGGCGGTGGTGTGGGCTCTGGGTGGTGGACATTCTTGTGTTCTGGCCTAGGCTATGGAAGCTCCAGGCCAGCTTGTGGGGGTCCCCAGGTTTCCAGAGTTGACAAAGAGAAGGAGGGCTGGTCAGCAGCTCAGAGGCTCTTCTGCAGAAGGAAAACCTTTCCGTCTCATATTTGCCTGGCCCCTGCTCTGTTCCCCACTGGCGGGTACTGCCTTCCCTGCACAGGGATACACATGCCCAAGGAGGAGAAGGGAGAAGCCGGGGGTCCTGATGATTGGGGTGGGCGATGGGGTGGGTGATGGGGTGGGCAAGAGAGAGCCTGGTGTGTTTAGTACCCCTCCCCTTCAGAAAAATAAAAACATGCATTTATGTTAAAAATGACTTTTGCTTAAAAAGTAGCATGTTCATTGTAGAAATCTGGAAAGGGAAATAAATGAAGAAAGAACATGGAAATTCTTTAGAATTCCCCTCTGTCAGTTAGGATTAGGTTCAGTGGCTTGTGATAAAACCCAAATAACAGTGTCTTAAATGTGATGAAAGTTTGTTTCCTTCTTCTGTAATTATAGGCGACCCAGGGCGGATATGTTGGCTGCACCATCACTAGGAACATAAGTGCCTACTGAATGCTGCTCTGTCTTCCCCAACATGTGGCTTCTACCTCATGGTACAAGATGTCTTCTTCACTTCCAGGCATCGCATTTGTGATCCAGTCAGTAGGAAGAGGGAATAGCGGAAGAGAATCCCTACCCATTCCTCCCCCAGCCCACAAGGATACTTCCAAGATGTCGTACATAATATGCCATGTATGCCGTACTGGCCTGAACTTAGTTGCGTGGCCACACCTAGCTGCAAGGGATGCTGGGACATACAGTCCTTATTTTTAAATCGGGAGTTCTGGTTTCTAAAGGAAAAAGAGAGAACGATATTGGGAGACAGCTAGTAATTTTGGCTACATTCCTACATAGTTTAGGGTATTTCCTTCCATACTTCATTTTTCTATGCCTAGGGAGAGAGAATTTATTTAACCAAAGATGAGATTATATTTTACGTACTTGTCTGTAACTTGATTTTTTTCCTAGTTAAGGATACATCAATAGCCCTTTTCCATCTTATTAAATAGACTTCTGCAAACTATTTTTAGCATGATCATTCCTTGTTGAGCTGGATGGTAATTTATTTAACTAAACCCCCAGTGAATGGAATTGTAAATCAGATATTGAAGGTAAAGCTTCATGACGCGTATGAGATTTATTTTTCCCTGTAGGATAAATGCCCAGAACTTGGATGGATGGAGCATAGGATTTGGGCATTTGAAGGGGTCATTGGGCAATTGGGGAGCTCCCCAGACTCTGGGCTATGTGGGGCGGCTTGCAGCAGGCTGTGTAAGCCCCCTTCTGCTGTTACTATAGCGATTATTTTATCATCACTCCGATTCCAAGGCCCTTGCTGTTCCATGACACTTTGCTTCTGACTCCCCGCCACCCAGATCATGTTGGGGATGGGGTCCTCAGGGCACCCCCTTTTCTTTGTCTTTGCTGTGTTCTGAAGCTCCCTCCCACCTCCCCCCAAATCATCACTTCCCTTTGCTCCCAGCCCATCCCCTGGCCCTCTCAAGTTTCACCATATGTCTGGTGAGGTCACCCCAGCCAAGGCAGAGGTGTCCTTGGGGGCAGTCGGGCCCCTCCCCAAGCAGATCAGGTTGCCGGCATCAGTCTCAGGGAGTGACTTCAAGGCCTCTTTCTGTCCTTTTTATCTCCAGGGAGAGATTTATCCTCCCCAGGCGACAGCAGCCATGGGTTCCAGGCAGATGGCAGCTCCCCAGGGGCACCCCTAAGGGCAGCTGCTACTTGTTTTAAAGGCTGATATGGTTCACTGTCCACAGTCTCTCACTGATGGTGTGTGACTGGGTGTGCTGGGGACACGTTACCAGGCCAGACTGTCTGGGTTCAAGGCCCAGCTCCTTCACTTACCAGCTGTGTGGCTTTAGATAAGGTCTTTACTGCGCTGGGCCTCAGGCTCCTCGGTGGAATGGACATCGTGATAACAATGCCTGCCTCCTGGAGTTTGAGGATTAAAACACCTAGAGCAGCACCTGCACATAAGGCCCAAAGATGTAGATAGTGAGTTTAAAAAAGTGTTCTTCTTCTAGTGGCCTCTCTCAGCTCGGTATCAGTTTACTTTGTGGAGCCTGTTCTCAGTTTCTCCCTGTCTCTCCCATCCTTCCTCCACAGACCAGTCTCTCTTGAGCACCGGCTGTGTGCCAGCCTCTGTTCTAGGCACTGCGTAGATGGCCAAGGAGACTGTCTTCTGCCCTGAGGGAGCTGATACTTTAGTGAGGGAGACGATGCTGAATGATCAAACCTATCCATACTTAATTGATAAGAGCACAGCCGATAGCGGTGACGTCTGTGAAGGGTAACGGGTTCAGGTGGCTATGTAGTGGGTGAGATCCTCTCTTATATGGGTCCAGAGGTGGCCTGTGAGAGGAGGGACCTCCCCTGCCAATTGAATGTCTTGGGAAAAGCTCTATAGGTAAAGAACAGCATGTGCCAAGGCCTGGATGATGGGGTCCTGGTATGTTCAAGAAATAAAAAGGAGACCAGTGTGCCTGTGGCTGAGCCAGTGGGGTGAGAAGAGCCTGCATTAGACAGTCTTTGGGCTGTGGAAGAGGTTGAATTTTTTCTAGGTTTTAATCAGAGCCTCTTCTAAGGCAAGGATTTCTTGACCTTGGCACAGTTGTTTGCGGTCAGCTGTGTGTTTGTGGGGCTGCCCTGTGCACTGGAGGGTGTTGAGCAGCATCCCTGGCCTCTGCATACTAGATGCCAGGAGCACCCCGTCCTCAGTTGTGACAACCCAAAATGTCTCTAGACATTGGCACATGTCTTCTAGGGGGCAAAATCACCCCCAAGTTGAGAACCACTGGGCTCAGGCTAGGTGGGACCGGGGTGGGACTAGCCTGGCATTGGGAGACCTGGTTCTAATCTGTGTTTTGTCACCAGTTTGCTGTTTGACCTCAGACCAGTGTCTCATACTCTTGGTTTCTCCATCAACTGGGAGCTTGTTGGAGATGGCAAACTCATAATCCTTCCAACCCTCTCCCTGCCACATCCATGGCAGACATCACTAATCAATCATGATGTGGCTTCCTGCTAAGTCTAGAGCTCTGGGGACCATGGAGACACTCAGGCCGGGAGCCGAGTAAACAGCCCCTCTGGTCCTTCTCTTATGCCCCAGAAGACCTGGGTATAGACTTAGAGGAACTTGAACGCCTGGGCTCGAGGAAACCTGTGCATCACCTAGAGGAGCTTACCCCAGTCGACGTAAGTGTACAGCTGAAAGAACTTACACCTGAGCGCCATTGTTTACAGTAGGGATGCTTGAAACAAGTGTCTGCAGCATGGTAGTGATTACCTTATGCTATAATTTTGACTAGTAAGCAATGAAATGAACAACTTGAGGTCTGTCTTATTGTGGATTCTCCAAAGAACACGTCCTGAGAGCATGACCTCCCAAGTACGCTATTTCAAGGGCAAGTAGCGTACATGGGAGGTCACCCAGAAGGCATCAATAGGAGAGTCAGGGAGTGAGGCAGGGAGGAGAAGGCAGCCAAGAAGGGTGTGTCATCAAGCGGGTTACCATGGGGGCTGCCGGAGCTGAATCCTATCAAGGCACTCGGGGAGATAGTGTCCATCGAGTGCCTCGGTTTCCTCATCTTTCTTTTCATGCCAGGCCCTGCTGACCATCACTGAGGGCTGCTCCCAGGCAGTCTTACTTCTTCAGCACTTCCGGCCTGCCCTGTGCATGAGAGTGGGGCCTTCAGGCCCAGAGATGCGGGCACTGGCAGCTGGATATGGTGTGGGGTAAGGGTGGGGTCTGGATGGCAGATGCTGCCCGGTGTACATATCAACATGGGTAAATGTGGAAGACGTGATGTTGAGTGAGAAAATCAAGTTGTGGAAAGCAGGCTACTTATAAAAATGTTGTGAACATGCAAAGCAGTATTCTCCCTTGCTTATAGATGCACACGGGCTTGGTAAGTGGGCAGAGGCATGTGTGGGAATGAGGAGCACCAGCTCCAAGTACCTTGCAGGGAGAGAAGGTGCCTAGTGGCTCACGTCTCTCTGTAACGAGTCTTTTCTGCTTTTTCTATTTAATACATTGAGGTTTGATATTTGCATGGTACTGTGGGTCAACTGAACTAATCTCAAGTGCATACTGCTGGGGCTTTGCATATGCAGTGACCTGTGTCACCACTGCTCAGATCAAGATACGGAACGTTTCCAGCACCCCCGAGAGCCTCCTCATCCCCTTTCCAGTCTGTGCCTCCCCCAGACTTGTTGAATTTCTTTTTGCAAATGGTTTCAAGCAAATTTGGTGTAGTGTTAAGATTTGCCACAGCTGGGTAGTGATGAGTTTGTGGGTGTTTGTTGTTTCTCTCTATTCTGTATTCTTTTCTGTATCCTTGACGTACTTCATCATCATATTCATAAAATGAAGAGGAGGACTTGGGCAGATGTGAGGACAAGTGGTCCAGGCACGGGCAAAGCTTCTGAGGCTGAAGGAGTTTCTCAGGCAGCCCTGGAAATCCTGAGAACAGTATTGTGTCTAAGGGAGTCTTCGGAGATGAGAGCTGCTTTTGACCTGACTGTTTCAAAGCTGTCAAGCCTTGGACAAAGGAAGAGTCACCCTGGAGGGTCCCTTTCACCATTCCTGCCAGTGCAGGGGACGCCGGTGCTGCCTGGAAAAGCCAGTCGTGCCTTGGGCAGCAGGAGGGCTGGACCCAGAGCCCCTGCTGCCCATTCTTTCCGGGTCACGAGCTGCCCATTGTGGCCTTCACACCGGCTTGTTTGCAGTTCCTCAGTGGGTGGCCTGAGCCTCCCATTGTTGCGGCACAATAGCGGTGGCAGAGCTCGTGTGAAGAAACCAGGACAGGAAGCCCCAATCTAGGCCAGCAGAGTGTGGCACTCCCAGCTTCCTGCCCTCCTTGGCTGTGCTGGGCGAGGCTGTCTTTGTCTCCCTCTAGTCTGGGGAGGCTGGAGACATGACTTCCTGTCAGTATCCCAGGCCCTGTTAAAACATCCTCTAGGAACCCTGTCCCTGTCCCCCCCGCCCATTGTCATTTAAAAAACAGGATCCGCAGACTTCCAAGGAGCCTGAGTCCAGGTCTCTGCCATGTGTCAGGCACTGTGCCAGGCACATTCCATACCTTCCTTTGATTTTCAAGCACCTGCTATTTGCTGAGCACTACATTTGGCCCTGAAGACGTAGCTGTAAACAAGACAGGCAGGGTCCCTGCCTTCAGGGAGCTTCCATTCACTTTATCCCATGACATTCTAAAAGGTGCTGTATTCCTGTGACCTCCACTGGCAAGAGTAAATGAAGACTCAGAGAGGCTAGTGCACTTTCCTGAAGTCACACAGCAGGAAGGACCCGTGGTTGAAACTCAAACTCACCAGTTTCCAAACCTGGCCTCTGTTGTTGGATTGGGGGTTATGGTTTCATCCCAGCCATGATCCCTGCTTGTCCTGGCCTTTCCCTTAGGATCTTGTATAGATTGCTTAACCTCAGTTTCCTCATCTGTCAAATGAGCTCTTAACGCAAGATGGGAAGATAGGAGTTTGCATTAAGAAGAGGAGGGCCTCTTGGTGGAGATGGCATTTGAACTAAGGCCAGATGGATAAGGAGGCTGCTCAGGGCAGAATGGGGGAGAACATCTTGCCAATAGGAACAGCATATGCAAAGGTCGTGAGGCAGGAGTGTATTTGGCAGGTAGATAGAATCTAGAATGACAGTGTGGCTGAAGATTATTTATATTGAATTATGTGGGAGGATGAAGTACTAGAAGATGAGATCGGAGAGGTTAACAAGGACAAGGTCATGGGGACCATGGAAGGATTTGGATTTTAAGTGCAGTGGGAAGCCATGGAGCTTTTAAAGGCGTGGATTAACTGATCTCTTGTACATATTTAAAGGGATCTCCCTGGCTGTGTGTGTAGAGAACAGACGTTTGGGAGGGTGAAGGGGACCAGGAGGGAAATGGCTGTGTTAGTCCAGGCAGGAGATGATGATGGCTTGGACTGGGGGGATGTCTATGGAGATGGGGACCAGTGGTTGTAGTGTTCAGGTAAAGCTGGTAACATTTGATGTACTGGAAATGGAGTGTCAGACAATAGAGTTCTATGGGTCAACTGGCTGGTGGGTTTTGGCTAGAGCCCTTGAAAGGCAGAGGTGCCATTAATCAAGTGGGGAAGAGCTTGATATGAGTTTGGGGAAGGTCAGGAATTAAGTGTTGGACAGGCAGAGTTTGGACATCCCGGTGGAGACATTGAATCAGCAGCTGGAGATAACAGTCTGGGGTTTCAGGGGAGAAGTCCAGGCTGGGGATATAAACATGGGGGTCATCAAAAAAAGGGAATTTAACCCATTTATGCCAGAGGTTGCAATTTTTTTTTTAAATAAAAAATCAGACCTTGGCAATGACCTTGAAGAGTAGGATATAAATAACTCCCACAAGCTTAGTGTTCCAGTAATGGAACTCTAGGCATAGATGGGTGAAAGCCCCAAGACTAGCTGAGATGGCTCTGCACTCTGTGTGGACAGAGACAAAGCTGCCTTCCTATGTCTTGCCTTTTTCTGTGACTCACCTTGTGGACTGTCATTGCGCCCCCTCCCAAGAGGCTTGAGTCTGGGCAGGTGGCCGGGCTCCTGGGGGCAGGCATGGACGTGTTATGTCTCCGGGTGATGGAAAGGATCTGACAGCCGTGTGCGGAGGGTCACCCTCCTCTCTGCTTACCTGCCCCGCTTACCCTGACCCCAGCGCTATCTTGGGCTGTCCCCGCCATCTCTCAGAGATCTCCCCAGACAAGCGTGGTGGGTGAGACAGGCTCTCGCAGCCCCTGTCTTAATCAGCCTGCACCTGGGTTCTGTGACAGGCAGACCATGTGCTCACCTGGACCAGCCCCCCTGGGGAGCCCCAAGCTGTCATCTGTCTTGGCAGGGCAGGTGACTGATAGGCCCCACAGCTCCCCATGGCCCTGCGGGTGTAACACCATGAATTCCTTTTCCCAGGGGTCTCCGTGTGGCTGCTTCCAGGTTAGGCTACAGCCAGATCCCACATCCTGGAGTTGGGGCAAACCAGGTGGAGGTGGCTGTGGGTACTGGGCCTCGGTCTCCCTTAGGTGCTGACTCTGCTGTCTGTCCTTCCCCCAGCATTGATCGCTGTGACTCTCTCAGCCCATCCGTGTGACCCCTTGGCAGCTCTTCTTTCTGCCACTTTTCCACCCACACCACCTGGTGCCAGGCCACCGTCATCTCTTGTTGGCACCACTGCACCCTACTGCCCTGGTCTCCCCACTTTTACACGCAACCCCTGAAATCTAGTTCCTTGCAATAACAGAGAGCTCTTTCACCAACACTTCAAAACTGGGAGACTTCTCTTTTTTAAAAAATTCTAATTTCTGGCTTCATTAAAATAAAAAAACACCACCCCCCAAATCTGAACCTCTGGTGATCCCAGGCCTGCGGCCTCCCCACGTGGCCCCACGTGAATGGTGCACCCTCAGCTCCTGCAGCCCCTGTCGCTCCTGCCCTGGTATAGTCACACTCATCTGCTGCGTCTCATAGAGGAGAGACATGTCTGTTCCAAGACGTGTCTGTTCCGTGATGTGTCTGTTCCAAGCTCCCGAAAGGGTGGTAGAAGGACTGTGGTCCATTCAAACAGTAGATTCCTGGCATCTGCAAGGAGGCTGTTTGTGAGATGATCTGGAAGGATCTCTGAGCTATATTAAGTAGAAAATCCAGGTGCAGGTCATCCGGTGTATGTTGCTATTTTTTGGTGTGTAGAGAAGTAAAAAAAAAAA